GTAGCCACCGATGGAGGCCGATGGAGGCCGGAGTCCCTGAGCCTGCAGAGGAGGATAGGGGAGAGGGTGGGCGGTTCCCCAACGCGGGGCAGACCTGCCAGAGCAGCTGGGGCAAATGTGGGGCTGGGGCCTGCTCTGCAGGCGTGCAGAGCACAGTGAGTGCCCACGCATGAGCACTTGTGCATATGTGTGTGTGCTCTGTGTCTTTCTTGTCTCTTTCTGTGTCTCTCTGACTCTGTTATTTAATCTCTGTCTCTCAGTTTGTCTCTTCATGTCTCTCTGCCTATTGATCTCTCACTGCCCCCTTTGTCAGGGACTGTCTCACTTTGTCTCTGTTCCTCTCTCTCTCTCTTTTTTAAGGTTTTTGCTCTACGGCACATGGAGAGAGACAGAGACAGGAAGAGAGAAAGTGAGACATCACTCCCCAGGGAGGATGGCTACACTGCCACCCCTTCCCTCCATTCTCCTCTCAGGATTTTGGTGCACATGCACATGTACCTAGCATGCATATGCACCCCAGCGTAATTTCCTAACCACCAGGTTTGGGATTGGAACCATGGTCAGCCCTGTGGGAATCCAGCGCCTTAACCATCATGCCGCCTGCCGGCCCCTCTGTTTCCCCTTTAGTCTGTCAGTCTCCCCGTGTGTGTGTGTGTGTGTGTGTGTGTGTGTGTCCATCGGACTTTCTGTCTCCATCAGTCTCTCAGTCTCTGTATCTCTCTATCAGATTTTGTCTCTTTCTTTGTATGACTTTGGATGTCTGTAGGAGGCACCTCCTGGGTGGAGGGACAGACAGACTTAAGTGAAGCCAGATCTTGGTGCCTTCCAGACCCTGACATAAAGATCTACAGAGTAGGCATGGGATAAACTATATTTTTTGTCATTTTTTTGGCTCTTCAATGTAGTTATTGCATCAGCCACTCTTAGGAGCTCTTTTTCCTTCAGCTTTTTGTGTATGCTGTCTGTTTATAATGTTCCCCCCCAAAAGTGGCTTACCCCTAGGCTTTAGGCATCTGTGATCAGTTGCAAGCTTTTAGTGCCTTTAAAAATAACTTACAAGGAGTCGTTTCTGTCCCTTATTCGTGCTGTTGTTTTTCTCATCTGTTGTTATTGATTGGGAGATTGAAATACTTAGTTCGCTATCTTTAGCCAGAGAGCTTTTTCTAAACAGCTGATGTTTTAAAAGTATGACTCTTTTTGGTGATTTTTCTTAAACATAAAGGAAAAAAAAATCATTAGTAATGCAGTGAAGAGATTAAATAAGAGGATAAAATTAGTTTTTGCCTTAATAGAAAGTTTATGTTTTAAGCAGTAAAATGGCATTTATAATGAGTCCAGGAATCTGGAAAAATCTGATTATGTGATTCTGAGCAGCCTGCTGGCCTTCTGCTTCCCCCTCTGTCCACCTAATCCAGGCCACTGACTCTCCTCCTGGCCACCCTCCCAGGGTCCATCTATCAGCTCTGCACAGGTCTCTGTCACCTCCGAGGAATACACACACACACACACACACACACACACACACACGTGCACGCACACACAGTGATAGAAAATGTGTGCATGAGAGAGGAGAGGACAGAGAAAGGCACCCTCATGAGGGTCCCACTACACCATGAGGTCCTTCCCTGGCCCTCCTGCTCCTCTGTATCTTGGGCACCCAGCCCTGCCTCATGCATTTTCAGGCCCAGCTGGGTATCCGAACCTGTGGTCAGCCCTGTGATGGCCAGCCTTGCAGGGTACTTGTGTTACTGCTGCGCCACAGTGGCTGGGGCTCTCAGGACTGTCTCGCCACAGCCATGGCTGCAGCTGATAACCAGCACAAGATACCGTCCCGTCCCCTCCATGCATTGCTGTAGTCCTTCCTCCAGCCACAGTGGCAGCGGAGCAGCTGAGAGGAGCATGCAGTGGCAGATTGCGGAAGGAGGCCGTGGGCACTGTGCAGAAGCCTGCCTGTGAGCCGGGGCTTCCGGAGTGCCCCCTAGCCTCTTCAAGCCAGTGGCTCTTCTGAGTACCCTCCAGACACCTCCCTCAGGCTGGATTCTTCTCTTTGTGTCTCAGGTTGGGCCTTAAAGCCTGGCCTTGCAGACCCGATGGAGCAGCCTTTCTGAGACCCCCTCCCTGAAGAGAAGGGTTGGTTTCCAGGAGCAGCTGTTGGTCAGACAGGTGGAGACACTGCTCCATCGGCAAGGAAGGCTGGGGGAGGTGGCCTCTTGCAGAGGCCTCTCTGAGAGATGGTGTGGGCTCTGACTCCTGGGCCTGCCTCCCGCGGGGGACAGCCAGGCTGCCAGGGACGCGTTGGCCTCCTGCACATGTGTTAAACATCGCTGCGTGTCCCGGGCATGTGGCAAATGCTGCCCGCTGCCGCAGGCTCTCAGCGGGCTCGTGCTTTCCACATCACGGCATAGCAAAGTGATTTCCTCACACTCCCCGCTCTTGTCTGCGCCAGGAAGTGGTTTCCAGAGCCCTGCTAAATCCAGAAGTATGAGACTGACGCGCATCCCTTTGAAACCAGCTGAGGTCCAGCTTCTAGCGACTTGGGGCTTGGGGAAGGAGAGGGGGAACAGGAGAAGCTGGTGTGTGTGTGTGAGCGAGTGAGCGAGTGAGAGCGAGTGAGCGAGCGAGAGAAGGCTCTGGGGGGGAAACCACCAGACAAGTGGGAAAACAGATGGGGGTGGGCAGTGCAGCGATGGAGACCAGGGCAGGGTGCAAAGGACCTGCAGAAAGGAGACTTCAAAGACTGCTGTGCAAACTGCAGAGAGCTCTCTTCAGCCCCTCACTTGTTTTCAAAAAAGAATTCATTTGCTTTCCTTCAAAAACCTCCAATTCATCTGTTGGAGAGAACGGCAGGGTGTAGGAGAAGGCCACAGGGAAGGATCCTCAAAGCATCGTGCTAAAGGGACAGAATACAAAGCAGGGTGAGCTGTAATACAGAAGTGGAAGGTAACCGCCAGAACAGCAATCACATCTTATAAGAGCACATGAGGGACCAGCATACGGTACAATGGTTATGTCACGGGACTCACACGTAGTTGACTGCAGTTCGAGTCCTGGACCTGGCAGCATAAAACTCCCGCTGGATTGGGACCAGCAGATGGCATAATGGCTACGTCACTGGACTCCCATGTAGTCGACTGTGGTTTGAGTCCCAGACCCGGTGGCTTAAACTCACGCCGGGCACATGTGCGTGCGTGCCCGAGATCCTGAGAGGAGAATGGAGAAGAAGGGATTGTGGCGTGGCCATCTACCCGGGGGGGGTGGGGGGGTGATTTCTTGCTTTCTGTCCCTCTGTCTCTCTCTGTCTCTCTGGCAAGTGCACATGACCTATAGCAAAAACCTCTAAAAAATAAATAAATAAAAATAAAAAACCTCACACTGGACACATGTGCATGTATGCCCAAAATTCTGAGAGGAGAATGGAGGAGAAGGGATTGAGGTGTGACCATCCTTCTGGGGGGTGATTTCTTGCTTTCTGTCTGTTTGTTTTTCTGGCGAGTGCTCGCACCTTATACTAAAAATCTCTCTTGAAAAAAAAAAAAAGCACATACAAATAAAAGGATTTACATTAAAATGCAGTGGAATGGTTGTAGGGGGAATACAGATAAAAAGGAGATGGTCCGTGTAGTTGGACGCTTACCAACTGCCAGGCTGGAAGCCACACAGCAACCGTGGGTTTGGATCCCTGGCCCTATTGATCTGAAACACGTGGGGTGTGGGTGTGTCCAAGATCTTGCTGAGCTGGAAGACTGGGGAAGGGGATCATGATACAAAGAGACCCCATCAAGGAGGCTTCTCTCACTCTCTATCCCTTTCATGCACTTTCTATCATGCAGAATGAAGGGGAGAGAGGTGAGATTAGCGAGTGGAATGAAACGCAGCACCGGTGTTTGCCCTTGGAAGAACACAGCCGTAGGACCCCGGCAGTCCTGGGCAGTTCCTGACCCGCCAGTTGTTAGGCTGTCCTTGATTCCAGTTTCCTTGTCTGTGAAGAGCTGAGCAGTAGCGAGGGTTCTTTGGTGCAGGAACTACCTATCTGTGCACAGGGCCTGGCAAGAGCAAATAGGGGCAGAGGCAGTGCTGAGGGGGAGCTGTTCTCTATTCGCACCGTCTAACACAGTGGGCACACCCGCACATGGCTCCTGAGCACTGGAAAGGTGGGTGGTGTGATTGAGGAAATGAAGTTAAATTTAAGTGGCCCAACGTCAGTAGCCCCACCTGCCCAGTGGCAGGTGTAAGGAGTATTTTAACGTCTCTGGAATTCCAGCAGAATTTTCCTTGTTGAGTGGAGTCAGCCATCTCCACACCCTTCCAACCCTCAGGGCTCAGCAGTGTTGGGGCACAGGCAGGGTGAAGGCCAGGGCAAGAGGGTTGAGGGGAACTGCTGGCCACTCTGGCTGGGTCAGTGGGCTGTGCTTACCTGCCCGAGTTATCTGCCCCAGGCGTGAGTCAGAGATGGGTAAAAAACCCTATGGAATGGACTCTTGGAGTTTTCAAACCTGTCTTTAAAAAACACAAATCATCAAACTAAGCCTTGGTCCACTCAGAAGGGAGCGGGCCCCAGTCTGCTGTTTAGGTTGTGCCCTGTCTCGGCAGGAAAGCCCCTGGGAGGCTGGCTGGGCCTCCATGCTAGCCCTGATCTCTGCCGAGGGCTCTGAGAGCCCTGCACACCCAGAAGCCCTCAGCCCCCACTGCAAGTCAGAGATCCGGGAGGGCCCCTCAGCCCCCACTGCGAGTCAGAGATCCGGGAGGGCCCCTCAGCCCACACTGCGAGTCAGAGATCCGGGAGGACCCTGGGTCTGGGCCCCTCTGATGGATGTCTGTGGAGCCGTCAGCAAGTCCCTTTCCGTCTTCTCTGGGTGACCAGGGGCTGGGCTCTGTCCCCTCTGGGTCTCTGAGAACACTGGCAGAGTTCCTGTCGCTTTCCCTGGGAGCGCAGCATTTCTGCAGCCCCTCACTGGCGTCTTCAGAGCAGCTGGATGCCATTTCTTTCTTTTCGTGGGTCCGAGAGTGAATCTGCTCCTGGACATGGCGGTGCCGAGAATGCGTGGTACCCCCTGGCAGTTCTCTTCCAAGGCTTCCTCCCTGCCTCCAAGGTGTTTAGAATGCCTTTGGAAGGGATCTCCTTAGTCCAGGGACATTTTAACCCAGAGTCTGCAGTTCCTACAATTTCTGTGGTTTTTATAAAAAAATGTTTTTAGGTGTATTTCTTTCTTCTTTAAAATTAAAAAAAAAAAAATTAGAGATTTTTGCTATAGAGTACCTATGCTCACCAGAGAGACACAGAGAGAGAGAGAGACAGAGAGAAAGTGAGAAATCCTCCCCGCCCCCCACAAACCCTTCTCCATTCTCCTCTCAGGATTTTGGGCACGCATACACACGCGCCGCCATGGGTTTTAAGCCGCCAGCTTTGGGACTCCAACCACAGTCAACTCCGTGCGAGTCCGGCAGCGTAAACATTACGTTATCTGCTGGTCCTGTGTTTATTTCTTTTGAGAGAGGAGAGAGGGAGTGTACCCTCAGGAGGGTCTGTGTTAGATTTTGCTGTAGGGCACATGTGCCCCCAAGAGAGACAGAGAAAGTGAGAAAGCATTCTCCTGGGATGGATGGCCATGCTGCGGTTTCCTCCCCTCCATTTTCCTCTTGGGATTTTGGGCGTGCATACACATGCACCTGGTATGATTTTCAGGCCACTGGGTCCAGGACTTGAACTGCACACTGGACCCAATGGGAGTCAATGCCTTAACTACCACGTTATCTGCTGGTCCGCAACAGGGTCTTACTGTGACCATCCCCCCTCAGCCTTCAGATCACGGGCCTACGTGCCCCAGGTCCTCTGGCCTGGAACTGGGCACCCTCCCTTGTTAGATTGCCTCTCAGAACTTCACATTTGTGCCACCTTTTTCTGGCCCTGCATTTTTTGAACTTCTCGGAAAACTAGATGGACCTGCGTGTGCCTTTACCTAATGCGTGTTTTATTCGACTATCCTAAGACCCTATAGGCTAGAAAATAAGTGCTAAAATTGACAGCAAGGGCTATCTTCCTGGCAAGAGAAAATTAAGTTGGCTCCGCCAGAGTGACGGGAGATGTAGGACAGGATTTCAGGTCAGAGGGACACTCTCTGGCTTCCTTTCCCCCACAGGTGCTCGCTGGGTGGCCCAGGCACCAGAGGGACACGAAATGCCATACTGGGCACAAATGCCTCCCCTCCTGGAACTTACAGCCTGGCCCAGGCAGAGGGCTGTGAAGGCAGGGGTGGATCTCCTGGGACCTCTTGGCTGCCTGGTGCTGAGCCAAGGACTGAGGTCCAGCTGCCTCAGACCCCGGCACCTGCCAGGGCTGGGATCCCTCTTAATCCCTCCCGGGCCAGGCTCTCCATTTGCCAAGTGGGCTGTGGGAGAAGCTGGGGAGTGTGTCTCTGGGGAGCAGGCCCTCTGACTGCCTCTGAGATTCACAGCAGCTAACCCAGCGGCAGCATTGGGTGAGTGCCCGACTGCTCTCACTTCTCTGGTGTTATAGCTAATAGAACTGACCGGAGAGGGGCGATTGGCCAGGCCGCCCTGCTTGGTGCTGCCTCGGGGTTAGAACCAGACCTCCCTACCCCAGTTTCCTTCCACCTGACCTCACCACCGCACTCCAGCTGGGTTCTCACCCATTTGCTTCCTTGGAGACACCACAGCCACTTGAGGGTCACTACGGGAGAGGGGTATGTGCCATGCAGCCCTCCGAGCCCCAGCAGAAGGTTGGCAGGTTCCAGAGACCGATGGTGTGGCTCCTGGCTGGAAGGCACCTTAACCCACATCTCAGACTGGCTTTTTGTCCTTCTGGGTGAATGCCACATGATGCTGGACACAAGGCCCCACTCCTGCCCTTAGAAGGTGACCTTCCCGCTCCAGGCTTCCCCGAGTAGGCCCGCCAGGTCTGTGCTGTGGCGTGGGCTGCAGGAGGAAGAGCTGGTCTGCCATGCTTTCTCTGCCCCAGCTCCCCGGGGATCCTGTTCTGCCTCTAATCCGGATGTGGGAACTTCTCCAGATATGGCGGTTAAACCAGGACAGGAAAGCTCACAGGGTCCCTGGAGCTGCCCCCTTCCCCTGCTCAGAGCAATGGCCGGGATGGGTTATGGAGGGCTGTGGGGTTCTTGGCAATCTGCACACCTGGGGCCTCAGAGATTCGGGGAAGACATGAGAGGAGGTGCATTCTGTGCTCTGTGCTGGGTCTCAGACTCAGCGGTAGTCGTTCCTGGGCAGCCTCCAAAGCTTTACCTCCTGGGCTTATCCTCAAACAGCCAGGGCTGACGATGCTGCCACCACGAGGGGAGTTCCAGGCCCGGATTCACAAATGCCCCCCACCAGCCTGTGCTTCCACCGACAGTGTGAACTGGGAGCTGGCTGCACCAGATGACATTTCTGCAGTCTGAGGTTCGTTCAAAAACCTGCAGATGTCTGGGGCTAGGTGTTGGTGCAGGGGTGGCGTGGCTAGGCCCTCATGGGAGATGTACTGGCTTCACATCTAGAGGCCTCCCCGAGCATCCTGCGTGCACTCATGCAACCAAAATCCAGGCTGGCTGGGGCGAGGGCGGGTCATGGTGTGGGGACCCTGTTTCTCCTCACTCGCCACATTGCTCTCTCTCCCAGAAGCAATAAATGAATAAACTTCTTAAACATTACGAATGTCAGGACCAGCAGAAGGCATAATGGTTACGTTGCCGGACTCACATGTAGTTGACCGCAGTTTAAGTCCCACACTCAGTGGCTTCAAACTCGTGTCAAGTGCATGTGCATGAGTGCCCATAATCCTGAGAGGAGAATGGAGGAGAAGGGACTGAGGCATGGCTATGCCCCTGGGGAGTGATTTCTTGCTTCCTGTCTCTTTCTGAATTTCTGGGGAGCTCTGTAGCAAAAATCTCTCTGTACAAAAATGACTAACGTCAGTGGGCCTTTGGAGCGGCTCAGGAGCTGCTGAAAGCACACCAGTGGAATCCTCAAAGGCTGAGGGTCTGTAGTCCAGGGCCAGCCCCTTAGAGAGGAGGATTGGGCAGGCTGTTCTGGGGCTGGGAAGGCACCCAGTGCCCCGGGGCCTCTTGCATGGTGCCCTAGTTCTAGATGGAGGAGACCTGTGAAGAGGGCTGTCCTCTTGGGGGTTAGGAAGCTGGGAGCTCTGTCACCTGGAGCATTTGTGCTTCTCAGGCCAAGGGCTGCTTCTCCTGGCCAGTGCCCTGGTGCAGCCGCAGACCTCTCCCTCAAAGATCTGGCTGTGTCCCCAGCAGGAGCCACTTTGGCCTGAGGATTCAGGATGTCCCCCACGGAGACTCAGAGGCTGATCTTCAGTGTGGTCCTGGCATGGAGGAGTCAGCCACATTCACGAGCATGGGAGAGGTCATGTAGTCACTCAGATCACACCACTGTGCCAAGTGTTCCCTCGGGAGCACACTCCTGCCTGGCTGTGTAGGTGAAGCTCTTCATTCAGCCGGGGCCTTGCTTGGTAACAGCCAGGCCTGAGCCATCGGTCTGAAGGGTGGAATTTTCTTTAATAATAGGGAGAAGAGGTTGATAGAATCAGCCAGTCACGTTTGGCAGGTTCTATGTTGTCCTGAGGGTGTTTTTCCTAGACCAGGAGGACCCCCGAAAGATGAGTACTTGAGTGGCCCAGGTGGGTACTTGGACTGAGGCAACTGAAATGACTTAGAACAGGAGTGCTTAGGGAAGATGTCCTGCTGCTCTCTGCTCTCCGGAACAGTCATGTCTGCATATACATGCACAAACACACACACACGTACACACATGGGTTGGCTGGGCCTGGAGCCCAGAGAGCAGTGAGTGTGGGCACCAGACCTGATGCTGGCAGGGGTGGGGACGGGGTGCGGGAGGTTGGGCTGCTGCCCACACAGCCCTTCCTCCGGGGCTGGGGCCTGAGGCACAGGGAGAGTGAGTGCGTGTAGATGACTGTGAGGACCGGGAAATGGCTTGGGCCATGTCCTTACTGGATATTTGCAGCTCAGCTTTGCTGGAGTCAGAGCCTGGTGTGGGCAGATGGCTCTGCAGGCCTGTCATTGCCGAGAGGCTTCTGGGCCCACTGACCCCCAGGGGGCCGGCTCCGGCCTGGGCACAGCACCCTCTGTGTACGGGGTTTGCGTATGTGAACCAGTCTGCCCTCCTGTAGCCTGGGGTAGGGCTGTGTCCCCACTTCACAGCAAGGAGAAGGGTGCAGAGAGGCCACCCAATGGTGGTATTGGTAGGTGGCAGCAGAAGCAGGGCTGTTTGGCAGCAGCAAAGCAGCCTCAGGGGCAGCCAGGCCCTGTAGCCTAGTGGTTAAGGAAGCCAGCTCCCACATGGCTAACCACTGTTTGAATCCTGGACCTGGCAGGATTCAAACACATTCAAACACATGCTGTGTGTGGGTGCATGCCCCAAATCTCAATGAGGTGGAGACGTACAGGAAAAAGGATTGTGCTTTCTTCTTTTCTTTTTCTATCTCTTTCCCCCTTTTGTGAGCACAGGTGCAAAAAAAAAACACCTTGAGGGCTCATCGCCACGGGTCTCCATGATGTGGGTGGTAGTGGTGCACAGCGTGGCCAGTGAACAGGGCCAGCTTTGGGAAGCTCAGGACCTGAGAAGGCCTTTCCCAGACCACGGTCTGGGGGCATTCTCCAGTCAGGAAAAGGACAGGCATGACCCTGGTCCCCAAAGCCTGCCTTCCTCGGTCACTGCTGTCCCCATTTCTGTTGTTAAGTCTCAGCAAAGACACTGAAGAGGCCCTCACTCCCCGGCCCTTCCTTTCCCAGGTGTGATATTTCTGGGGCTCTTTGCTCCAGTCCCGAGTCTCCTGCTCATTTTCTCCAAAACAGAACAACGGACCAACCTCTCCTGCAGGCCGTGCAGGTGACCGCCTGGGCACACCGCACACCTACGCCCCGGTTGCCCTTGGAGCAGATACCGCCACTGAAGTCCCAGGCCAGCCTCTGAGGGAGGAGCCCCATGGCCGAGGTTCTCAGAGCTGAGCCGGGGGCTTGGCGGGGGCCTGGGAGCTGCTCTCTCTGAATTTTAAAACATCTGACATCTATCCCAGCCAAGCACTAACCAGGACCTGCTGTGAGCTGACGTCAGGGCAGGGGCCCCACGGGGCAGCTTTGATGTCTCCCAGGCCCTGTCGTGGGGGGCAGGGGGCTCTGAGTGGCAGTCTGGGAATGCATCTCTTACCACAGCCTCAGAGCAGCCCTGGCCCCAGGAGGGCATGCTGGAGGCTGAATGGGGGTGACTGGGGCTGAGTGGGGGTCTCCCTGAGTCACGCCGTCTCTTCTCCCCGCTCAGGTTTCTGTGGCAGGTGGCCTGTGGGTTCTGCAACACCAGGGCCCCTTCTCCTCCATCCCACCCATCTTCTCCTAAGTTCCTTCAGCCCTCTCCTCCGCTGGGGTGGCTTCTCTGTTCTGTGAGTGGTCCTGACCCTTGGCTGGGGGAGAGCTTTGTGATGGTCTTGGAATTTGAGTCCTGGGGGAATAGCGGATGGTGTAATAGTTACATCACTGGACTCCCACGTAGTCAACCGCAGTTCAAGTCCCAGACCCGGTGGCTTAAATCTCAGGCTGAGCGCCTGGGCATGCGTGCCCAAGATCCCAAGAGGAGAATGGAGAAGAAGGAATTGCAGCATGGCCATCCCCCCTTGGGGCGGGATTTCTTGCTTTCTGTCTCTCTCTGTCTCTTCGGTGGGCACGCACGCCTTACAGCAAAAATCTCTCTTAAAAAAAGAAAGTAAGTTCTGGAGCAGGGAGAGTGGGCATGGGAATATTCATGGTAGCTCTCTTTACTGGAGGTGAGCTCTGCCCAGGGCACCTTGCACATCTTACCGCGTTTACGACTCGTGATAACGGGGAGGCTGAGAACACTGAGGCATAGCGGCCTGTGTTAGTGTCCCCAAGTTCAGACACACTGAGTGACAGCCAGGATTTGACCCATCCTGTCTGGTTCCAAAGCTGTATCTGCTCCTCTGTGTGGGTGAGACTCCCGGCTCCCTACCCTGTCTACAGAAGCCAGCAGGGAAGTGGGGGTTCACTGCACTTTGAGGCAATCTCCCTGTGAGCACCTGGTGCTCTGGGGTGAGGGTCCCAAGATTGGGTGGGTGGCCCGTCTATGTCAAGAGTGGAGACTGGGAAGCATTCCTGACGTGACGCAGTTCTCCGGAGGTTACTCTGGTTCAGCCATTGTCCGCTGGGTGCCTTCTCCACCTGACATTGTCTGTGAGCGGTGTATCGCCTCACCGCCTGGCCCTGGGGAATGTGACTCCTGATGTGGGGTCAGATACTTCCAGGGCTGTTTGTGCGTCCCTCGGCGGGTAGGAAGTGGGACTAGGTGTTGGCCTCTTCGGGCCCCTATCTGGCTCTGCACAAACCCCTTCCTCTCTGGCCCTGGTTTATAGCCTGTTCCATAAAGGAGTACCAGCAGGGGCAGGGCCACACCCTGTGGGCGTCCGTAGGGGTGTCTCTGGGTTGTCATCTGATGGGGTGCTCAGCAGTGCCCAGAGGGCGGTGAGTGGAGAGCTGCCCTGCCCTGAGAACCGACAGTGCCCCATCGAGAGGTGAGGGCGCGCCTGAGCCTCTTCCAGCTTGTGGTGGCTTTGTGTCGGGGTTCGGGCTAGTGCCCAACACTGGGCAGCAGTTCAGTACTGGGGCAGCCCTTCCTCTGGACTCGGCCCCGGCATGAGGGGTCCTGGACTGGTCTTGCTGCTGAGGAGGAGGTTGAACTCTTGCCCTGAAGTAGCAAGCCCCACCTCCAGGACTTGGAAGAGTGTCTTTGGGACAAGGTCCATCTTCAGCGGTTTGGGCAGGGATGGGGAGGGTCCTGCTGGTCTCTGCCTTCCCAGCCCATGCTGCTCAGAGGCAGAATCTGCTTCTGCTTAGAGCTGTCCTGGGGGTCCTGTTTCTTCTGGGGCTTAGGGATCTCATGCTCAAGGTCCAGTGGCTCCAAGCCCCTGCAAGGCGTCCACACGGATGGGGACAAAGCCCAGTGTGTTACCGCCGTCACCGTAACCGTGCCAGCCACCTGCCCCCGCGCTCCGCCTCCCTACCCCATCTGCTGCTTAGCTCCGGCTCTTATTCTCCCTTTGTTCCCACTGGCGACCAGTCCACCTTTGGGGGCTGGGCCCCCTGTGTGTGGGCGTCGCCCTGGCCCTGGTTGGGGTGCAGGAGGGGGAACAGGAACTACTTGGCTTGCCTGGAACCTGGGAAAGCTGGCTGTGGCCACTGGTGGGCTCTTGGAGATGAAGAACTGGACGTGGGGGTGGCCCTGGCAAGTCTTGGGCAGTGGCCCAGGTTTCTAAATACTGGCTTCTCCAGTGATGGGGGGATGCTTTTTACCAAAGAAGCCCAGTCCTGGGCCCGTGGGCTGCAGGGCACCCGTGGGTAGGATTCAAAGCTTCCTGATCTGTGGCCACCTCTAATGTTGGCCCCCTCAGTGGGTATGAGTGCAAGTAATCTTTCCAGAATGGTCTTTGGGTCGGGATTTAACTTTGCTTAACATCCTGACTCTTGGGACCAGCAGATGGCGAAATGGTTGTATAACTGGACTCCCACATCATGGCCAACCACAGTTCAAGTCCTGTACCCGGAGGCTTGACACTCATGCTGGGCACATGTGTGTGCATGCCCCAAATCCCGAGAAGATAATGCAGGAGAAGGGATTGCAATGTGGCCATCCCCTGGGGGTGTGATTTCTTGCTTTCGATCTCTCTGGTGAACCACACACCCTATAGCAAAAATCTCTCTCAAAAACAAACGAAAGTCCTGACTGAATGGTGGAGAGGGTTGCCTGCTAACGCCTCCCGCTCCCCAGCCTGACGTTAAGACCTGTGATCCAGTCCCGCAAGCCTTAGGGTCTCTTCCTCCAGGAAGCCTCCCCGTGGGACCAGCTCCTCGCTGCCTTCCTCTTCCACACTCTAGAGGCACTGGCTGCTGCAGCTCCCTTGTTCAGCATTTACGTGACCACAGCCACGTCCTGTAGAACGGTCCCGCGTGCCCCACCAGGCTCTGGGCTGCTCGAGGAGAGCACGCAGCACAATGTGAACGTTCCTCGGTGGCCTCTTGGCAGCTGTGGCCTTGTGACCCGTCACACGTGCACTTACTGGGCGTCTCCTGTGCACAGCGCAGCCTGTATCAGTCTGAGGCCGCAGCCCCTCCTGACCCTGCCCCTCCTGCGTCCCCCTCTGCAGGTGCCCAGGCAGCGGTCGTCTTCATCAAGGAGCCGTCCTCCCAGGATGCACTGCAGGGCCGCCGGGCACTGCTCCGCTGCGAGGTGGAGGCCCCAGGCCCGGTGCGCGTGTACTGGCTGCTCAATGGGGTCCCCGTCCAGGACACTGAGCGGCGTTTCGCCCAGGGCAGCAGCCTGAGCTTCGCAGCGGTGGACCGGCTGCAGGACTCCGGCGCCTTCCAGTGCGTGGCGCGGGATGACATCACCGGAGAGGAAGCCCGCAGCGCCAACGCCTCCTTCAACATCAAATGTGAGCGCCTGGGCTGTGCTGGGACCCCCGAGACCCTCAGCTACCCAGCCCTGGGCCCCCTCCTTCGCCTTGGCTTCCATTTGAGTGGGACAGGCAGGATGCAGTGGCAGCTCTTTCTGCTTATGTGGATAGGAGGAAACAATGACTTACTTTTTCTTTCTTTTCTTTTTTCTTTTTTTTTTTTTTTTTTGGAGGGGTTTTTCCTTAAGGGGGGGGGCCCTTACTTCCCGGA